AGAAATTGGCACTATACTGATAGTATTTCCAAGTGTTAACGTAGCAAGTTCTATTTTGTCTTGTAAAAAAATATTACAAACGTTGTGCATCTGCACACCAGTATTATATACAGCGAACAGATGCTTGCAAAATTTCCCTCCTGCCCCTTCTGGACAGTCACACACTTCCAACTTTGTATTGACTTGGTACGAAAATGTCTCATCTGCAGCTGAAGTAACTGTAAACTGATCTTCAGACACTTTCACAACACGAAGATCAACCGATTTTTTGCAAAATTTCGTAAAATAAATCAACAATTTGTTATCCCTGGAGCTAGCATAACGCAACAATTTTTCTTTGTAGAAGTCCTCCAGTGATAAAAAGATGAATTCTACTAAGGATACTGTATTGAAAGCCTTACATCTTTGTAGTACCAAATCCTTAAAAACTCTTATTGATACTTCTACTAAATTGTTTGTATTATGGCCCCTATTGCATAGTTTATTTCGAAAACAATGACACCAATCCTGTCTTCTCTGCCACATTTTGTCGAAATATTCAATAAAATTCATATATTTACTGGCAATTTCACTCTCGCAAAGAGCTTGCATGAACAATTCGCAATCAATTTCTTCCTTGGCGGGAACGCCGATGGTCGTTGGTCGCGCATATCAGCTAGGAAACGGAGTGCTCCAGGATGCACTCCATTCCCTATCTCTTGAGAGCGACCTATCGCGCTGGCTGTATAGGAAACGTAAATATGCTAACGGGTGGCAGGATGAAGCCAAAAATATGAAACAAATGAATATCCATAACGATTTGGTGGCATGATACGCATGCGCTATTATAGTAGTCATCAAAGACATGCGTTTCGGTGGACAATGACGTTTACTAGCCTTTCAATCAAAAAGCAGTATATGTGTCTGATCGTTTCAAAAGGTCATGACATTCTGTTGTTTTTGTTTACGTTTCGCGGACATGTTTATTAGCGATTTTTCATCAGTGGTATCCATAGATTTCAATAAATTCAGTGATTTCAGGGTGTTTAAAAAGATATAATTGTTCATTTATTATCAGTGTTTATTGTTAGATTTCTAGTTCTACTGAGGCAATGGGATAATGAAAATAGGATGAACATACCATAGGGAAACCAAATGTAAGTATTAGCATTTGATATTCTCAAGGGTAATTTTGTAACACTTCATCATTTGAAAAACTTACCTACCAAGATAATGAAGACTTGTGGACAAAAATAAATAAATGATTTCATTCTTTCAGAATTTATATTTTCACTAGCATGTCCTGTATCATTCATAATCATTAAATCATCCTGAAATAATGAATTATATCCCGAAAATCCTAATAAGAAAACATAAACTAGTCCATAAATGTCATGTCACTCATGTCAAAATATTCAAAATAATGAGTTAGGTTAGAATGAATGAGAATGATTGTCATTTGAACTTGCGTATTTGATCATGCGCAGTATCTTACTTTTCTTATGGATAGTCATTTGTCTTCAAAAATCGGCATCATGTTTCGCTATGGAAACAGATAGAGATTATCCGTATTGATTATTGATACGTATATGCTTGAAGTGTGTTTTACTACCGAGGTAGTTTTCGTTTATGAACCACTAGACAATAAAGACATTCCTCTGTTATAATCAACCGAATTCACAGTTCTGGTGCGAGTCTCCCGAATCTAGTAGGTATTTTATCAATAACGACTTGTCATTATGCTGTCATGTTCATTGCTACTAGATTATAATAATTTGAATTGAAAAGAAGTGGTATCATAGTGACAATTGGTTTATATTTCAGTTTCACAAAACTAAAATGATTGAATTGTGTCGCTAGTGGTGAAAAAAATTTAATATACACCTTGGTAGTAAAGGATATATTATTACCACGGGACAATCTTGGTTCCTGGGTAATACTGATATTATTTACTACCTTGATGTATAAATAACTATACCATGAATTGGGGCACAAAATGTTATCACATGAGTATATATGAGAGCAATTAACACACTTCGAGTACTTCTGAAATAATGGAAACATTTCTATTATTAAATTATAACATCATAACATAACACATATTCTATAGGTTATCTTTCGTAGAACTGAGTAGCCATCTATTTCATTTTCTTTATTGTGTTGATATTGCAGAAGAAAAGGCAAAAATAAACATCAATAAAAAAATAGGACGATGTCAGTCATTATTCATCTCAATCTCATGTGATATCTCATATAACAAGATATAATCATGAATTATAATGCAATAAGATTTGACTCGTTAAATATTTATTCAAAATAAGTAGGTAATATACAAGGTGTCCCGGAACAACGTCCCATAAATTCTACAAAGTGAGCTATAGAGACTAAAATAGGTCGATTGAAATTAATCTACCTCTATACAGCGTGTCTCACTTTAAACGGCCCCCCTCTATATCTCAGTTATTAGTCATGCGATTCCAACCAAATTTTGTGTGGTATGAATAACCATCAATATGATCAGTTTTACAGAGATGCACATTATTTTGGACAGTGCCATGTGTTTTTATTGAACTAAAAAGGGGTCGATTTTCCATAAAATCATATTAGGCATTTTTTTACAGGAAATCTAACCTTATATTATTGTTCCTCATGCTTTTGAACCTCCATATGCAAAAAATCAGCTAATTCGGAATTAACAGGATTTGCTTCATTTTGTTTTATTATCAGTCTGGATTAAATAGTAACTTCAAATCAACTACAAATTTTGGAACGTTCAATGGCTCCGGTAGGTGTAAAATGATGATTTGAAAAGGAAAACTACTTATACTTTTTTATGTTGAACTCACCGTTTCCGAGTAAATAATTATTACGTTCGCAAAAATGCTGTTTAGATGTGCCTGTTTTTCTGAAACCCTTCATAGGCATTTGATGAAAATTCACATATTTGAGTTTGAAGCCATAAAGAATAATATTATGAAGTCAGTTTTCCTGTGAAAAAATGCTTAATTTGATTTATTAAAAAACTGACCCTTATTCATTTCAATAAAAATGCACGGCACTGTCTAAAATGATATTTGTCTTTGAAGAACTGGTCATATTGATGATTATTCATACCGATACAAATTTGGTAAAGATCGCACGACAGATAGCTGAGATATAAAAGGGGCCGTTTGAAATGCTCCGAAAAGAAAAATGAATTTTATTTCTACATTGTCTTCAATATTTCGAGATCCCTCAGCTTTGAAATTCGTAGGGCGATTCACCATCGTGAATGCACATGAAAATCATGTCATACTAATTCAATTAATATACAGGGAGTTAGGTATTATGCATTCTCTTTATACAAAAATTGATGTAACTTTTTCGGGGTACGGCACTGGCCTCATTTTGATATTTCAAAGAATGACAAAATCAATTTTCGCACTTCCTTCTAACTGCGAATTTGTTATAATTTTCCATGAGTTTCGAGATGAATAACAAAATTAATTTTGGTGCTTCTCCGTACTACTCGTATATGACATGGGAATTATCATGTTATGCTCTTTTTATTTGCATTGAGTTATTGACCACAATAATAATATCTGTTTTACTAGGCAGAAAAGTAGTAGATTGACTGCCGCGGCTGACAGTTCATAGCCGAGCGTAGCGAGGCTTGGAATTCAGGTAAGGCAGTCAATCTACATTTGCTGCCGTGTGAAACATAGAATTTTCTCTCTAAATGATATATAACCAATTTTGTGTAATTTTTTTTTGAAAACTCCATCATTTTGTGTTCACCCAATGTCAGGGTCAATTTTGATTACTAATTTCATTAGAATTTGTCGGAACGTTGCATAGCAACTAACTTTTTCTGCCTAGGCAGTGAAAGTAAACCTTTTCTGCCTGTTAAGCGGCAGGAAAAAGCCGCTATCACTGCCACTTGGAGAAAATGCATGAGTCCTGTTGGCAGTTCGAGTTTGATGCAGCAGCAGTGATTGGGAAGTTGAGGGTATCCATTTATTGAAAATGATAGCTTGTGAAGCTGGAGCCAAGTTATTTTGATCCCAAAAAAACATCTTATTTTTGTGGGCTACTGGAGAGAAAACGGGTCATTGTTTTATATGGCCAAAAGCGGTTTTTATGGTTAATAGCAGGTTTTATGGCCAAAACCAGGTTTTTTGGCCCGGGCCATATAGGCCTTTCACACCGAGGGCCATATTACCCGACGTATTGTTACAAAAACATAATTTTGACATATAATTTCATAGCAACATCAGGTATGATGGTTTACTTACCTTGTAGTGGGGTACGCACGCAGGGATGTGTGCTATGTGAACAATATAGTGAAAATTAACTAATGACGCTCCACGGTCTACATCAAACTAAATTAGTTCGTCTACCGAACTGGAGTGCACGATGCGGTCTTTGAGGGGAGTGGTACCAAGCTATAACACAGCAGCGATGCTAAACTGTTTTTTTTTCTTCAAATTACTTGAAATATTCATTCGGGCCATAAAATCTCTCTGGCCATATATGCCTCCACTACCTTACTATCGAATGGCATTAATAAACAAAATGTTGGGATCAAAATGAAATTTGAGGTTAGACCCTTTTTTTCACCCAAAGTTCTCCACTGTAGCGAATCTGACGTCACCTCTGTTCAAATTTCCATGCGGTAGGCACAATCACGCGGGGATTAATCATTTAAGTTGTGGCATACTTGATTCCTTTCTCGTATTTTGTTCAATTTTTGGGATGACATTTCTCGTTAATCAGAAGAATCAGAACAAATCTGATATCATGGGAATATTCCTTAGACTGTATCATATTAATGTGCTGAATATGTGCACTTATTTCGAAAACACCTTGTGTATGTATACATACAGTGTGCTTCCTCCCAAAAAAAGTGCGCACAACGCACAGGCAAATAACGAAATCCACAACGCGTTGTGAAGAGAGATATAAATTTCGGATATTGATCGAATTCGGCAATTGGGTGTGCCTCTTGATAAAAAAATTAGAGAAATGAAAATGTTTCAAACCTCGTCCATAGCCCATGTCAATAATTCCTTAAACAATCGACAAACACAAACTGGATGTCAGCAATTCTATATTTCGTTGATAAAAAAACCGTTATCACAACAAGACAATTCCACGTTCGCTACGATACTAATTAATCTAGATTATTTTATTTTCATTTGAACGAAATGTTATCAGAACATAATTTATCATTTGTTTGTAGTCGATCCTCTTAGCACATAATATGGATCAGACACAGTTTCAACATTTATTTTCCTAAGCAGTCTAGATTCATTATTTGTACAATGTGATCCTCGTTCTCCACTCGCTATACAGGATATTACCGAATAACCTCCACTGAACTTATTTTTTGAATAAGAGGCCACGTAATGACAACTATTAACCCAGTTATTACCAAAACTTCCATTTCGGAAAGTTCAACTTCTGAAGGCATTTTTATAATCAGATTACGATTCTGACCGAACTTTCTGAATGTCACTTTTTAATAGTTTGCTTACTTTTTCAAAAAACAGCCGTCCTTTCAAAGGGACCATGGTATAATGAACTGCTACGGACTGCTACTGCCACTGCTACGGATCACATACTGCTATTTTGAATGATATAACAGAAAACATTTTTAGGGATGCAGGCTTAAAGCACATTTTCTGCAAGAGAAATTATTTTTTTATGACGAAAAGTACATTTTTCTACTCACATAACCAAAATGGCATTTAGCGTACGGATATGTACCACGCTAAATGGTCGATTAATCACGGATTGTCGATCTGTGATTTATTCAAAATATTAAACACGTTACTATGGCAACACGATTTCTTAAACACATTACCATGGCAATGCAGTTCATTAAACACAGCTTCAGTAATTTGAGACATGTCTGGCCTGTCAATTGTATTAACTGTCAACTGTTATTTTCGAATTTTGTATCAGAAATATTCAAACAATATTCGCTTGTATCAGAATTCTTCATTAAAAATATACCCATGCAAAAATTAGACGAAAGTGAAATCGAAGAGAATGTTCTGGTAATTGCATATCTCCAAGAAGTGTGAAAATGAAGCATCCATCTTTGAGAACCATTTATTTATTCTGCGCTAAGCATGAGAATAAACGTGAAACAAAGGTTAGTAAGCAACTGGACACATCTACAACCAATATCACTCATACTTGTCTCGCTGGTTGCATGCAGTTGCATGTATTATGTTCTCAATTCCCATTCCTTTCGAATTATTTTGTAGGTTAGCAGGAATTGCAGGTATGTTAATGTTGTTTTCGGAGTTCGTAGAAAAATCATAGTAGGTATGTAACGCGTTTATAAACTCTTCTAGACACTCGTTTATTACACTCGCTTCGCTCTGCGTCGCTCGTGCCTAAACTACTCGTTACTAAAAGGACGTTTATAACACTCGTTACATAATATACTATTACGGCGCTGTAAATGTGAATTAGTACTGAACGGGGCACCTTTTCTTATTTTACTTATAAGTTTCAGTAATCCTTGTGCAATATGTCTGTGGAGTTGCCAACTATTCTGTACAGCCCATATCAAGACAGTGACAAAATAATGAACTGGTCAACTGGTGAGAGATTATCTTTGGGACCGATCGGTTTTTCGAAATTTTGAAAGTTATCTGAAATCCTAATATCACCTTTTCGTCATGCCGTATTTTGTCTCTTGGCTGATATAGAGGCAGATTGATTAGTCCTCACGAAGGTCGACAATGGGAGGTCATCTTCATCATCAGATATCATATACACATCAATAATAATGGTCCGTACGATTTCAACTTTGGTCCTCAGATCACTGCGAGGCCATGTATTGAACAGTAATTTCATCTTTGGTTCCAGAATCTTCATCAGTTCAGTTATTTGTATTTTCAGGTGGAAAAATTACTATGTCGTCTGGTATTCGGAATCATTTTCCAAATTATCAATCTCGTCCAGTAACTCATAAAGTCGTAGAAGACGTTATAACTATAAGTTGAGAGAAATACCCATAGCATTTTTACAAGACCGAACGAAAAGGGACGCATATACAAGGTGATTCTAAAATAGGTGGTCAAATTTTGAAAGAATATAGAGTGGGTGAAATAATTACGAAAACCTCTGTAACATTTTTTTCTGAAGTGACCCCCAAGAAAGATACAGCCCCTCAAAGGGGGGCCTCGGAGAATGATTTTGTATTATTATCTCCAACAGCTTGTATAATGAAAATCTGAAATTTTGTCTATCCGCTTACTATTCAGTGCCGGTTCGAATGGGGTTAAAATCACCTCTAAATAAAATACAGGGGTGTCTCAAAATAGGGAGGTAGGGGGTAAAAATAACCCCAACTTTTTTCTTCATTGCAATTTCAGTTTTTTGACATGAAATTATGAAATCTCAGGGCTATTTACATGAAAAAGGTGCTCTTGTTGCATCTCGATAAAATTAACTATTAGCGAATAAAATTTAAAAATTCTTGTTTTTAACAATATTTTTCATTTTAGTATTTTCAATAGGATCAGACCATAATCACGAAACTCGTCGTCTATTGTTAATTCATCAATTCCGACAATGAATTCAAAATTTCCAACCCCAAAAACCCTTACAAACCAATTTTGAATCGAATCGAACCATAATCACAAATCTGGTCAGCCACATTGGAGCAGCCCTATTTTTTTCTATCAAAAAGTCCATAACGCGTTGTCAACTGTCATCTGCCAGATTTCAAGTTGATCAGACGATTAGAAGTAGGTGAAAATTCAGTTGCAAGATTTGAACTAGATAATTAAACTCAAGTGCATACCAAAATTGCAATTTAAATGAAATCTTGGGAAAATAAATTTTATTCGCTAATGGTTCAATTTATCGAGATCCAACAAGAGCCCCTTTTTTATGTTGATAGCCCTGAGATTTCATAATTTCATGTAAAAAAACTGAAATTGCGATGAACAAAAATGTTGGGGTTATTTTTACCCCCTACCTCCCTGTTTTGACACACCCCTGTATTTAATTTTGAGGTGATTTTAACTCCATTCGAACCGGCACTGAATAGTCAGTGGATAAACAAAATTTTAGATTTTCATCATACAAGGTGTTGGAGATAATAGTACAAAATCATTCTCCGAGGCCCCCTTCTGAGGGACAGTATCTTTCTTGGGGGGCACTTCAGAAAAAAATATTACCAAGGTTTTCGTAATTATTTCACTCACTCTATATACTCCCAAAGTTTGACCACCTATTTTAGAATCACCTTGTATTTTGAGGTAATATCTGAACGTATTCTCAATAAGTTCATATAATTTTTGGAGATAAACGTTTGGAATCTCATGATCTCCAATTATCCCTAGCTGGCATTCGTAAGTAGCACTGTTATATAATCAACACCTAATCCGACGAAAAGCGTTCATGGAATGAATGAAACACAACAAACATGTGGAATGTTTAGAATGGTTCAGATCAGTGATATAAGTAGAACTCATGAATCGTGGAATTCTGTATTGATCCTTTTGAAAGAACCGTGGTGTAAGCTGGGTTGAGTAATATTCACTCATTTGAGGATCTACAATTTCTGGGGCCCTAAGCTCAATAATTCTTCAGGCCCTTGTGGCCCGTTGCCTCATTGATCCATTTGTTCTTTTTTTCTAACCAATTCTTCAGATGATAATACCATCTACTATTTTCTCCCAAAATACAAGCAAAAAACCGTGTATGATACACTATTTTTGTCTGCGACAGAAAAAAGGACGAATCAATATAGAGAAGATATAACATTATATTGAAATCAGTAGATTATCGACCTGAAATTTGAAATTTTTAACAGGAATTACACCCGCGTTGCAGGCATCTTTTGCATCTTGATCATTTTTGTGAAGTAATAAAATATCTGTGAATCATTTTCTGTGTTTTGATCTCAAAAACTTGCGAACTTAGTGGTTGTTTAGTAATTAAAGTAACCGCGAAATGAAATGGGAAGATAAAAAGACTTACAGTTCTTTCTCGGGAACTGTGTTATTGACTTATTTTTCGGAACTGGCACACCAGAAGCCCTCAACAGGGCACTTATATATCCCGGAAAAAAGTACCCACTATTTTCCCGTGGAGAAAAGTTATTCATGAAAAGTGATATTTTGTAACCTGTCAACAGAGATAAAATGCCTAACTTTTTCCCCTCACAGAAAAAACTGAATTTATTGATAAAAATATATAAAAAAAACAACATAAATTGAAATAAAGCTAACTAATACTGATTAGGATCAGATACCTACGAAGTAAAATGTTTTCAAGTGAATATACATGAACTAAACCATAACGAAATTACTAGGAGAAACATTCAGATAGCACTATTTTTGTTATGATTTTAGAATCTGTGAATTATTTCATGGCAGTATCATAAATCAAACTGTTTGTTCATTCTCAATGATTGTAATGTCTTCTCTGTCATCACTGATGGTCTATATTTGTTTCCAATTATTGTTCGCAATGTTGCTGTCGCCTCTATATAAAATAAATATTGCTCATAGAGGAAAAGTTCGCATTTTTGTTATTGTTTCATTCATACAAACAAATTAAATGGGAAAATAATGATGCAATGAGTCGGGGCCCTAAGGTTAAGCATACTAAGCGAACTGGTGAATACGCCGTATTTTTTAATTCTTGTGCACCCACCAATCCACATCCTATATAACTTTTCCAACTAGCATGCCGATGACATATTTTTTTTATTTCTAGAATAGAATCATTACTCAAATACCTCTCAATTTCATATTTTTTAAGAATTTTTCGGTCGATTTTTAGGTGCTAAAATCATCAATAATGCCACGGTAATTTTCAAACAGCTACAAAACCGCCACACCGTTGTCATGTGTTGAAATACGATTGGGAACTTCAGAAATAATATTTATCCAATGATTCTTGAATTCACAATCACGTATTGGTGATATTCCTAATTATAGCAATACAAATTCAGTTGTCAATTTGTGGTTTTTTCTTTTATCGCTTGGAGCGCACGAAAGGGAATCCCTATAATGTTCAAAGAATATCGTGCGTTCCTAGGGAGGATAGGGACAGGAGGTAGGTATTGGAATTTTTTTTGAACTTTCGGAGATTATATGTTGTTGGGAATACTTTCACAGGCAATGTATTCCAGAGC